TATCTCCAATAAACCACCAGAAAACTGGAAGTGGTGCTGTGGCTCAAGTGGTAGAGCGCTAGCCTTGAGCTGAAGAGCTGAGGGACAGTGCTCAGGCCCAGAGTTCAAGCCCCACAACCGACCAAAAAGAAAAAGAAGAATTCATAACTGAGAAAAATTATTAGTGACTTAATTGTTCTAATCAGGTTGATATTTTTTTCTCGTAGTTATCTCCTCTTTCTAACTTCTTACCTCATATGGAATTATTGCATGTTACTTAATATTATTCAATAACATTTAAGTGATAATATCTAATTAACATCCACTAATGATTAATAATTATAATTAAACTAATTACTATTAATAATTATCATTGATAATAATTTAAATAATATTTAAATGTTATCCAGTGATATTCAAAATTATATAAAAATTATTATACCCTACTAATTTGTCTCTTGGCATTATACTTGATTTTACCCATACTGAATGAAACTGCCAAGTTAATTATTTTTTGAATACTTTGATCATATGCTCCTTTTAAAATTCTTAAGTGATTCTCAATTGCTTGCTGTGTAGTTTGTTCTTATGGTTCGCACAGTCTTCTCTAATATAGCCGTCCTTATTTCCAATCCTTACACTCATCTTACTACTCTTCTATCCTTATTTCTCACTATTTCTAAACACCAATATATTCCCAGATCACATTCATTAAAATAAGACTGACAATAATAGCCACTGAAAATAAGGCTTTATCCTTCCTGTTCTCCAATAATGTTTGGAAAGTCCTGCGCAGCCCGCCTTTGTTCTTCCCTCTCTACTGTTTTCTACAGTTTACCAGGCCGCAAGCACCTTTCTTGGTTGAATGATTAAATTTACAATGCTGTATGTCCCTTTGGGCATGCGCTATCCCATTCTCTGAATCATCTCACTTGTGGTCTCTTTGATCTGACAGGAACATAGGCAGGTACTTTCCATCTTCGCCCTTTCAATTCTAAGCTGAGAACATCTTAATCTAGTGGTTCTTCAACTAGGACTCACTTTACCCTGTCACCCCTGCCACAGATATTTCAGTGTCAAAGACATTTTGTTTTTATGACTCAGAAGGTTGTACTGACATCTAGTGGTGGCAGCCAGTTTTGTTGCTTTAAAGCATCTTAACCATTATAAGGTAGCCAATAACAAAAAAAATCACCAAATTGTCAATAGAGCTGTGTTTCAGAAAAATTCATACAACCTTATCTGTGCTTCCCCCCTCCTATTTGTGATAAAGTGGGGTAAATAACTCTAAAAGTTTCTGTTTTT